TGATTTACAATAATTTCCTTTCTCAAATCAAGACAAGGAACAGCCTGGAGGAGGAAACTATCAACATTAGGAAGGTAATGTTTTAGACCTCTGGTGGGAAAAAGACCTGTGTAATTTTACTTGATTAAAACCATTGAGCTATTGAACTCGGTTCCTACATTAGGAAATTCAGTGAAATAAGCCAAGATCTTAGATGCTTATATTACAGAGCTGTCACTGTGCCTTTTTTCAGGGGAAAATTTAACCCAGCTGTTCTTCCATGTAGCAAGGCCATGACCCTTAAAAATAGCAAAAAGAATGGCTGGGAAATGTGGATGACACCATCGTCATCTTGCAAGAATTATAGAAAGCCGTAATTCTACAGATTCATCTATTTTATTCTAATCTCATTTACATGGGAAAAATGCCTTTAAGTTTTAATACTATAATACAGCAAATGAACATTAATTCTTGGTAAATTTATTTATGCATTTACTTGTTATACTTCGATAATTTTCTTTTAATGTGATCTAAACGCATATCACAAAAGCACTCTCTATTTAAACTTCTAGAAGCTAGAATAAAAAATTAGATTCTAGGAAGAGACGGTATAGCACTGATTCCAGATTCAATGGACTGATTTTTATCTGCCAACGAATATCTGGTTATTAGAAAATAGGAAATGTACAACAAAAAAGTCAGCACTGAAAAGGATCTTAGAAAGTACCAGCTCAATGCTCTTATTTTTCGGTGGAGGAGCCTAAGGCTTAGAAGGGATAAATGACTTCCATAAAGTCACAAGTGAGTTATAGACAGAGCTAAGTCTCCTAATTCAATGCTCAACACACTTTGATCTCAACAACAGTACAATTAAACAATTTAAGGTCTTCAGAGTAGGAACGTCGAATCTTATACATCTTTTGTGCATGTTTACATTCACGTAGTGATATTTATTTCTGCAGCCTGGGTTACAGACATAGTAAATACCAACAAAGTATGTAGAAGCCTATGTGTAAGATCTTCAAAGCAATCCTGAGGCTCCAAGACTATCCAAAGTCATTTAATTCCAACTACACTCTTGACTGTGCCTAGCCAAGACAACGCTGATGAAGAGAAAATTAATTTGTAAACTTCTGGTTTGCCAAAGTAAATCAAGCAGAAACTAGTAAATACAGGTGGGTATTAGTTTTTACATTAATATTGATTTTATTTATGTATATTTTTTGTTCATTCAACCAATATTTACTGAGCACCTACTATGTGCTATGCATGTTTCTGGATATAGCACAGATAAGAGCTACGAAGATAGGCCAAGTCCCTGTCCTCACAGAACTTACCAGCAGCAAAATCAAAAAATAAACAGATAAACAAATGAACAAAATAATTTCAATGTACTATAAGCGCTACTGAAGAAGTTAAACTGGATGACAGTCATGGGAAGGTTCTATTTTTGGAAAGGTGTCTTCTCTGAACAGGTGACATAGGATCTATGATCTGTATGATGAGAAAGTGGCAGCCACAGTGAGAAGCAGGAGGAGGAGTATTCCAGGCAAAGGGAAAGGCTAAGAGGCCCTGATATGGGACCAAGTTTGGGTTTGGTTATACCACAGTAGGCAAGAAGGTAGTGAAAATGTAGGCTGGATAGAGACTTGAAATATTTTTTTTTTTCTCAAAGATAATGTAAAGACAAATCCCTTTTTAGAAATGAGTCTGAATGCCTCTACATAATATTATTTTATCATATACAGGCAGGACAAACCTCTGCATTAGGAAAGCCACAGTGACTCTAAATCATGTAGAATTTACTTATTCAAAATATGTATAAAAATAAGGCTTGGGTAAGTGCCTAAATATGACTTTACTTACAAGAAAAACAAAATAGTTACAGCATTTTGGCCACCTGGAATTCAGAACTGCATTTCATTTAAACTTGAATGGGTCTACAAATACATTATCGTCTGGTTTACCTTGCCCAGCAGGTAAAATCTCCAAAGTACTAAGGTTAAATTCACTCATTACTCGTGAATTAGTAATTCAAATGATGAAATGTACTTTAAATTATGTGATGCACTTTTTGGTATTAGTGCAATTTATTTTTATAGCATGGGTGTCATATGTGTTATATATAGAAAACTGCATCTATATGTAATAATCAATAATTTACTATAAATTAGGTAGCTCTGTAAGGTAATATATCTATGTGTATAAATAAAAAGACCCTGGGCCATCTGAGATTGAAAAATATGGATCAAACATCTGAATTACAGGCAAGATCCTAAGCCTCTCTGAATCTCATGTTTCTCTTAAAAATATAGGTTATTATATCTACTCGGTTGAAGAGACAATAAAACAAAAATATCTAAGTGTTTGCATAGCACAAACTCAATAAATTTTACTGTTTTTCCCTTTCTTCCCAATACATTTTTCTAATAAAGGTAGTAGCATTAAAAATATGGGAACAACGATCACACAGATTTCATTCGTCTCTTTTAATTAAAATTTTATGATATTTTCACATAAAAGAAGGCGGCAGAACAAAGAAACTGATTCCAAAGCTCTTCATACATCAAACTCTAAATTAAGACCTAGTGTTTCTAATTGTTCTGCTGCCTGGAATCACTCCATTTTGACTGTCTAGTTTCTTCACAGCTTCTACTATGTTTCCTTCGTCTCAGACACAAACATGGGCCCAAGTGCAGTAAATCACAGTTAACTGCATGCCTTCAATTAAAAGTCAAAAGTAATGCATGGTTAATTGGGGGAAACTGTCAGTTGGTGAATGAGTCCCGCTCATTACATGTCGTGCACAGGATGTACGCCAAGTGTGTGTTCCAGGCAAGATGATTCAGTCCCTGACAGTGCACAGAACAACCTTTGTACAGAGCAATCTGGTCTGAAGAACAGGCTTTCAAACACTCAACACTGCGACTGTAGCATATACAGCTTTCTCTGCAAGTGTTCAATGCAAGCCAGTGCATAATAGTGACTAATTAGAAAGCACTTGAATTTTAATTGATAAGAGATTGAATAAAGAGACTAGGCTTTGGACATTAAGAGAAAAATCTAAGCTATTTCAAATGATTTTTTTCATATTTGATAATGAGAAAATGTTCAGAACATATTCTTATGTGAAAATGGCTTACAGGACAATGTTTCTTTTATTCTTGATTTATGATAGGTAGAAGAAGCAAAAAGAGAGAGAAGGAGAAAGGTACTGGGAAAATATACAACTCACTTCTGAGTTGTTCATACTTTCTAAATTTTCTAAAAAACTTTATATGTTGTTTAAAATTACATTTAAATTTATTTCCTAATCTCATATTACAAATTGTCAGTTTTAAAGATACATAAGAATCTTTTAAGATGAACTTAGCTGTTAATAATGTCATCATTAAATTAAAAAATAATCCCCAGTAAACACTTATACACGATTCTATTATACCCTTGGTTATATAGAAAAAAATCACCTTTGTAAAAATGTATTTTAAAATATACTAAAAAACCATGTTCAAAAAATCGAAAGTTTAATACAATAATTTATTCCAACATATACCTTATAGTATATTAACACACCAAAAGAAAATCACTATAAATACTTATTAATTTACTGACACTGACAGAATACATATATGTTCACAGTAAATCCAATAACGTTGAATTTGAGGAACCGCAAATCTTCTCCCACCGCTCTCGCATTATTTTCTACTCTATAATAGACTTTACATTTATCCACCTAGCTATTACTCTGATGCTAAAATCTACAATAAACCACACACACACACACACACACACACACACACACACACACACACAGAGTTTCATAATTTTCCAAACTAGATGAGAATGACAAAGTGTTACAAAGTATAAATGCTCACTTTTGTTATATTTCAAATTTAGAAGAAAACTATACCTAACACCCAACAGAATAGATTCATTTCAAAGGTACTGGACAGTCCACTAACCTTGAAATAAGAAATAAACAGTTCCTGCTTTTTTTACTTATGGGCGGGGGGCAGGGAGGAGGGAATTGGAGTGGGAAAAGATAATCATATTTCAGCAAAAGCCCATTTCTCAACCTCAGGCGTCTTTATGTCCCAAGGGTAATATTTCCATTCCACTCTTAATGGAACAAATTTCTAATCAGAATATGTATTCAAAAATAATTGAGGCAATGCAATGTCAACACATCAGGCTGCCATCAGCATTCCCTGGTGCTAGGAATCAACTTAGCACACTCTCTGGTGTGACAGAGAGCCAGGGCAATGCAGAAATGTCAGAATTGAGGAAGGGAGGGGAGGAAGCAAGGACAATACAACCACTTTGCTCCTCTTTGGGTGCTCAGGACAGTGTCTGGAAAAAAGCTTCTAAAGTGGAAGAGGCCAACCTTAAAACTTTTTAAGGAAGGAATGACAAAATGGATCCAGACCAAGACCTCAACTTTTAAATCGAAATCTGTGTCTACTTTTATAAAATTACTGAGAATTCTTGTCACTTCTAACACTGCCCCTAGATTTTTAAATTAGTAAAACCTTAGCGCAACATATACTATTGAATATACTCTGTGATGCCCTGGAAAAGTCCAGAGGCTTAAATTCACTTTGCTTCAAGTTTGACAGTATATTGATAATTGTTGAAGCTGGGTGATGGGTAACAGAAGTTCATTATACTGGTCTACTTTTGAATGTGTTGGATATTTTCATAAAAAAGTAAAAAAAAAAGAGAGAGAGAGATTTCTTTCAATATATTTCATGCTCAAAATTTTACTGACTTTTCCTTGGGATATATATGAGATGCGATTTATGTTTATGATTAGTTAAGACTCTAAAACAAGCAGTCTGAATTTTTAAAAAATCCACCAAGCATGATGTTGATTATAAAAAAAAAAAAATCCTTCATTCCTGAAAAATTTTTATCAAGATCTATAATGATAGAAGAAGTGCACCTAAACAAATGCAGTGCCACCATCTGCCTGGCATTCTCACAGTGTGACAAAATAGACTGGTAATTAACTGCTTTCCTACCGAAATCTGCCAGCTTTAACTCCCCCGTGTCACTGATCAGAAGGTTCTGTGGTTTCAGGTCTCTGTGCAAAATATAACGCTGGTGGATGTAAGACAGCCCTCGCAGCAACTGAAATAAAAACAACTGAAAAAATAGGGAGACAAAAGTTAAAATCTGAACACAGATAAATGCCAGTTTTTACATACAGTCTGCCAAGTACTTGTATTCAGTGAAAATGGGTAACCATCACTAAATATCTTACCAAGTTATTTAATCAGAATGTTTGTAAAGGTATGAGAATCCCTCTGTCATTAATAATAAATATGAAAATTTCTAACCCATTCTGTCAACCCAGAGTAATGCCTCCTCAGTCAGAGAGATCTACCATCCAATCTGTGTTCTATAAATTAAGAGCAATGTAAAGAATTAATTCTTTATAATATTTGATTCCCTCAAGCCTAAATTGATGTTTGAGACAGAGAAAAAATATGTATCCATAACATTATAAAAAGCAGAATTTTTTTAACAAGTTTATGTAAATGTATAGATATTTAACTCCATAGAAATGGCATGAACATAGTACCCAAGGATCTGCCCATTAATATTCTTTAAGGAATGCAAAGATAAGATGATTTCAAATAATTAAAACAAAAAAAGTCACAGGATCTAATTAATACTACACTGTAATTATACTGCTTCTGCACATACGGCCATCGAGATTAAGCCGTTGCCTAAAGACAGACATGTACCTTCACTAATTACAGAGCAGACCTATCCTAAAGGGAAAGGAAACACAGAATACAGAAATCAAGAATTTGAGAGTAATACTTTTGTAAAAAATCACTTTAAGAAGTGATTAATGGCCTTCTCTGTTTAGTTTCATATTGGATTATATCAAATGTTTCTATTTTGATAGCAAAAAAAAAAATGTGATTCCTTAGGCTTTCCATGTTTCATAAACATTTCGTTTATGAAAAAGAGAAAATTTTTAAATGATTTACATGCCAAAATAATCCTAATCGGCATTGTTTTTAAATATCAATCTCCTAAAACAAAAATAAAAACAAATGTTTTTAGTGCCATTAGTGTTCTAGTCTATATAGTCAGCTAGTAACGAAACGTAATTTCAGGGAAATTTTACATGAGTTAGCTGTCACTAAGGAGTCCAGACTATTTGAATGGAAAAGATTGGCAACTCCCTGAGGGCCCTGGAAGCTAGCATTTGTGGAACATTTTCCAACTAACTAGGGGCTATAAAAGTCAGGTGAATTGTTTACAGGGGTAGATACCTTAAAATAACAGTAAGATGAATTCTTTTCAAAATTTTGGTATGTAATAACAGGCTGTGGAGTAGTAAAGGCCTAGGATCATCATTTCCAGAATCTAAGTATCAAAAAGTAAAAGTCTGCTTAGTGTTAGCCCAGATTAAATTACTGGTTCGAGAACTGAGAACCGCAGGAAGCAAACATTTCTCTAAGACTCCTCCTCTCAATCCTTGCTGTGTAGCAGATGGAAAGACTTAACATCATCACCAGCAGTTTTCAGCCTCATTCCTTCTAATAGCCCCTGCATCCTGAAGCCTAATGCTTACAAGTTTGATGAAAATTGATATTCCTTCAGTTTAGAAAGGAGAAAGAATGAACAAATAAGACCACTTTGTGTTTCCAAAGCCTTAAAAAAAAAAAAAAAAAGGCACCCAAAGGCAGACAACGTAACGAATTTGATTAGTGAGCATACAATGCAATATACAGACATATTATAGGATGGTACACCTGAAACTTGCATAATTAATTACATAATTATTAACCAATGTTCCCCCAATAAATTTAATTAAATGAAAACAAACAAGTAAATAAATAAACTGATTTTACAAAGAAACAGGCATCCTGCAAGGTGCTAACTGATCTCTGGGTGTAGCAGGGACTTCTCAGAATACAACTGTCTATCTAAGCAATGCATTTTAGTTTAACAAACAGACACCGAGTGCCATCATCATTCTATACATTGTAGAATGTGATCTCGTTTAATTTCTGTCACAGTTTTAATGACAAAAGTACTGCTATCATCCCTGCATCAGTGAGGAGGAAACTGAGCACAGTTCCTCCAAGTCACACAGCAGAGCCAGGACTCAAACCCAGGCAGCTTGGCTCCAAAGTCCATGCTCTTAACCACCATACTATAGGAATGTAGGTCAGGAGTCAACACAAGTAGGCAAAGTGTTGACAGAGAGGCTGTTTCACAGGATACAGTCTGAGGATTTCCTACTAGGGCCTTCAGAGCCACTGAAGTGAGCTGATTCCAGCTGGTACTCAGACATCACCACTGCATTTCCTGACTCAAGCAATCTCACCACTCCCATACTGAGCATACTGCTCTTCAACCCTTTACCTTTGTTCTTGACTGTCCTTGACAGAAAAGCCCTCTCTCCCTTTTGCCTGCTAATCTCCACGTATATTTTAGTTATCTCAAGAATCATTCCTCCCTGGAGCCTTCCCTGACCACCTCCCCAGGCTTTCACTCCCTCTATAGGTCTACAAGAGGTGCTCCTGCTCTGGGTGCCTCTGCACGTGTCTATGGCAGTGTGGCATTATCCTACCCGCAAGAGACTGTGCCTTAACCATCTCCCTAACCTGGGTATGCAGTCGATACTCCCATACCACTAATGTGATTACTGAACTAAATTTAGAGATATCGGATGAAGCAGATAAAAAAATAACAAATAGAAAACAATGGAATGGGATTCTCTGGAAGCTAAGGGTACAAGTGGGTAGATCAAACAGTCCCGAAAGGCTCCTCTTTTAATACCTTTACTAATTAATGAGAATATGTAATCTTCATGCTAATACAGAAGCTATCCAAATAGTGTATCACATTAAAGGAGATTACAAAAATCAGTGTTAGGAAAGGACACAACTACACACTCCAATTATAATTGTATACATGACAAACTAAGCCCCAAACATGATAAATAGAGAACTCAAACATTAAGTTACTAAACAGATCTTTAGATCTTTGAGCAATGCACAAAGTCACGTAAGAATGAATCTCCACAGAGTGAATTCGCTCAGGATTTATTAAGTGCCAACCTTGTCCCAGCTGGTGTTATGCAAAAGGGATGCAAACAATAATAGGATAGGATGTAGTCCCTGGACTTGAGGAACTCATAGCCCTCTGGGTATGGGAGACACATATAACACAGATAACTAGGATTTAAAGAGGTCAGGACTGTAATGGCAACTCAAACTGAGTGTACTGAAGACAAAGAGGTGGGAGGATCTAACAACAAGATAAATGTAGGACTGATCCTCCCATTATACAAAAAGAAGCCTGTGGAAGGGGTGAGTCATAGAGGACTTGTCCCTCTGAAGACAGAATTCATTACATGTCAAATATTAAAAGGAAACTGAGTGGATCATTCACTAGATGCACGAGCTGAAATTTATGTGTCATATGACAAACCCCTTGCTATTCTTAGAGAAAATACTGAGGAAAACAAGCAAGCAAATCACTAGATAAATTAAAGGGAAAAACTTAAATAAATGAAACGACAGTATAGAAAATGTAATAAAACTACCAGTTTATCATCATACAAGTATTGGTGGCAAGAAGACAATAGCAGACTTCATTAAAAACATTGGAAAATTTGGTGTTTTAGAAATAACATTTTCATGTGCTTAACAGAATAATGTGCTTAATAGAAGGCTATAAGGAAGCAGTGGCCATGCTGAGTTAAACAGAATGTCCTATGGAATATTCTTTGGGAATGCCCTGAGAACTCAAGTCTTGGGGACCTTTTGTTTAGAAAAGCAGGCAAGTACCTAACTTTCTTACGTAAATTTTTGAGAAAGCCACTTCACTTGGTTGTTGTACAAATCACCACACAAAAAGATATACTTGATCTTTGTAAAACCCTGTGACATTGTGACACAACAAGAAGGACCACCAAAGAGGGGTCACATGCAGAGAAAGTAAAAATCATCTTTGATATGTGCTAATAAAACTTGGTAACTACCGATGGGATCTCAGTCAGGTGCCAAAAAAGAAAGGAAGGGGGACTAACACTAACTGAAAGATTTCTCTAGTTTAAAGGCCATTGCAAGTACTTTTACATATGTCATTTAATTCTTTCCATTTATAGTCCTGTACTTTCTCTTTTCTATTAAACAAATGAGAAGACTAAAGCTTTCAATGCACAAGACCTTACTGAAATTCATCCAACCATCAAACAGTGCTCGTGAACTTTCCACTGTACCTCATTATCTTAAATGAGGATGATGCTTAATAAATGCATGGATGAATACAGTTAGACACTCAATATAATCAAAGCGCTTTTATTAAGTGAACCCAAGTTTGTAAAATTCTCAATTAGCATGTTCTGTAATGAGCATGAGTTTTGAATTTCTGTTTTTGCTATTTAAAATCCTCTTAGAGATAAATAACATGGCAGAAGACAGCTTCTGTACCTAAGTTGATAAATTGACATATTTGAAACTCTTCCTATCTTTTTACTCTTTCCTAAGAATACCTTGTCACCTTAGGATATTCTACTCAACTTTATAAAAGGAGAGTCCTCCAAATTCTTTAGTATGATCACTGAAGATTTATATTCTATTTTGAATATGTTCGCTTTCCGCAATAAAAACCCCAATGGGAAAATGCCTTAAACAGCAATGATATGATGAATAGGGACACTTTTGCCAGCAGCAGGTCTATCTATAGCCCAGTTGTCTTGCCAGCCCCGGCAGGAAGCAGCTCAAATCCTCAGTGCCATGGCACAGACTTCTTAAATAGCCTTTAAAACTTCACCTATTCCCTTCTGCAACTCCTGAGACTTGAAGTAGGTAAAAATATTAAGATAAGGCCTTTTATCAAAACTTTTCAGAGCTGGTAAAAATCACACATTATTAGACTCATTACTCAGAATTACTGGCACTTGCAGTGAGCAACAAGTTTTATATCACCCCCCCGCCCCCGCCCTTTAAAGTCTAAAGATGTGTGATCAGATGCTCTTGGTTTCAGAGTTTAGAGTCAGTAGGCTCCCTGAATGGTCGGAAATGCACGCATTATTTAATACGTGTACTTCCACTTAAAATGAGATAAGCACAGTGAACATTCTGCAGATTTTCAAGGCAAGGGCCAACTTC